TAAGAATCTGTACTATTGGCTAGATTTTAAGAATCTGAGCATTTGTGACACTTGTATTGACAACCAGTCCAGACTCTTAAAGAATCTGAGCCATTTAAGGGGGTGAGGCACAAGATGGACCTTATATACAGACTGTGGGACTATCTGGATGTGATCAAGGACTGGCCAAGTAGTCTGGGGTGAAAGGGAGGTAAGGGGGGGGGTCTAGATGGAATCAAGGAGTGGCTGGCTAGGGTGGGGTCAGGTGCACATAATGAGGGCTGGGCTGGGTTAGAGGTAGCAGAGAATAGGAGACTTCACAGCGTCAAAGCCATAATGCAAGGACAGTTAAAAGGATTATATACAGAGATGAGCCTCAGGCAAATGCCAGGACCAAGTGGGAAAGTTCAGGTGAAGTTGTGGAGGGAGGGTTTCTAGGGCCTATACCCTGGAATAGATCCAGTATTCCTTTCTCTCCCGACCAGCTTTTTAGGGAGATACTAGCAATATGTAGATGCCTAAGGGAAGGAGATGCAAAGGGGCTAGAGAGTATTATGATAACTATAATTAATGATAATAACGATAGCTATGTCAACCTGAAAGTTGGTTAAAGAGGCAACAAACTAGGTGATAAGTAAATTCATAGTTTATTTCCTTAAACTAGCAACAGGTACATGGAGCCAGAGCTTTAACTCTGACTGACTCAATTTTAGGAGGACATTTAAACCGTGACTCAGGATGTCTGTGTTACTCAAAAAAATATATAGCCTCCACGTTTCTTAACATATAGCATGAGAAAGGACGTTTCTTGGTTAAATAGGTTGTAAATACAATAAGGCAAGAGAAGTAACAAAGTGTAAATTGGAATTATAGTCTTAAAATATCTGTGTTTCCCCTACATAATGTATGTCTGATGGGGCTGGGATCTAGGCCCCAAAAAGGAAAAATCCTGGACTTTCCCACATGGCCAAATCTCTGGCGTTGGCCTGAGGCTATAATCCCATCAATTGGCCTTTCACTGTGGCAACACCCAATCTCCCCTCCATTGTCTTATAAGTCTATGGCCACTGGCCATTTCCCACACTTAATCCTAGTTAGGCTCCATTATCCAGGACCCAGGAGTTCGGTTCACCCCAGCTTACTGGCCTCTCCCATCCAGATCTTCTTAGGCCCCTGTATATAAGGTTCATCTTGTCTCCATTAAAATTCTGGGATTCTTATAATCTAGCCATGGCTTGGATTCTTAAAATCTAGCCACTGGTCAGATTCTTATAATCTAGCCAACAGTTTACTAATGCTCAGACTCCTTAAGAGTCTGCCCAATACGATGGATGTTCTAATAAACCTTGTCTTTGGCTGAAAGAAGGCTTGGGTTGAATTCTTTCGGGAAGGACCCTCGTGTTGCGATTTTGGGGTCCCAGGACCCCTGAACCTCTAAACCACACCATGTCCATAGGACACCAAAATAAGAAAAGTCTCATTATTCAAGACAGTGTCTGGTCCCAGGCATCCTGTCCTTAGTGATCACAGAGAGGAAGAATGCTGGTCAGTTTCATCTGGTCCTGCAGTTGCTGACACAGGAAGGGGCATTCTGGGTTCACTCAGAGAGAAAAGATTAATTCAGGTTTTTGGCCCTTATTGGGGCTCAATTGATCTTAAATGATTATCAGCTAATATTTATATAGCATTTATATAGCATTATGTTTGAGACATTGGGCTAAGCACATTTTGCAATTGTCTCATTTGATCCTCACAACAACCTTAGGAGGTAGGTGCTATTATTATCCCCATTTTTTTTTAAAGATGAGAAAATTGAGGGAAACAGAAGTTACGTTAGCCACCCAGGATCATACACCTAGTGTCTGAGGCCAGATTTGCTCAGGTCTTCCTAATTCCAATCAAGGTGGTCTATCCACTGTGCCACTTAGCTGCCCCTACACTTAACACATACACAGTGGTTTTAACTTACCCAGGAATTTTCACATCTCTGAATTCATTTTGTCTTTGCAATTACCATGCATGAAAAAGTATTCATCATGCCAAACCTTGAGAGTTTGCTGGAATTACAACAGCACATAATATTACATTGTAACATTATCATATCATGTCTGTAAAAACTATATACATAAGAAAAACTAACACTGGAACCAAGGGAGGCTTTTCAGGAGCACAATGTGGTTGCCCTCTATAATATTAAGACTTGGAAAGTCAGAGGTGTAATGAAATTAGTAAAAACAAATAAAAAACAAAATTAAGTGTTGGTGGACCTGTAGTAAAGCATTGCTGAAGGCAAAGTAAGATATTTATTTGGAAATCAGAAGATCTGGTTTCAAATTCTAGCTTTGCCATCTATTTGTGTGACTTTGATTTAACTGAACTTCTCCAACCTTAGTTTCCCCATCTGTAAAATGAAAGGGTTGGACTAGATGGCCTCTTAAGTTTCTTCCCAGCTCTAAATCTCGGATCTTCTGATCATGTTACATTTCTAGAAAGCAGTCTAGTAACTGAGTAACTGAGCAAGAGGTAAAACTCTTTGACCCTGAAATTTCACAAGAAGCATACCACAAGGAAGTAACTGAAAATAAAGAACTATCTGTACTGCATGTTTAGAAGAAGCAGACCAATTCCTTTTCTAGTAGCAAGGAACCTTGATTAAGATAACCATGTGCAAGTACACTTTAAAAAACCACAAAGACACTCATGAGGCAAGTTTTTAGAATGTAAACATAGGAAGCAAAGAATGTTATAACATCCTTGAAATGTTTCCACTGTTGATTACTAGACTTTCCCTACTTGATAGAAATAGCCTCCCCTCCCCCCAATTGCATAAAAGTGCCTATTTCTGCCAGGTATAATAGGCACAGAGCTCAGAGCAATCTGTTTCTCTTGATTTAACAAGTAATATCTCTTCTGGCTTAAATAACTGAGCTGGATCCGGTTCTGACAAACACTATAATAATAAATACTCAAAACATCTAAATGTCCAATGGTTGAGGGATGGCTAAACAAATTGTGGTAAATGTAGTGAAATGCCAGAACACCATTAAGAATTACAAATATGAGGCATATAATGAACAATAGGAAGATCTGTATAAAATTATGCAAACTGAAGAAAGAACAAGTATGCTATCATACCTGTGAATGTACAGTCACAAGGATCAGAGTGAGGATTTAGGTAAGGTAGTATAAATTATGCTTACTTGTATATTGGAGTATTTTTCTTTGTAAACACATTTGCAGTGTTTTTTTTTTTACTGTAAAATTCATAGGAAAAAAAAGGTACACCCCAAATATCCCTAATTTCTTTGAATTAATTCATGAATTTATCTGAACATAGTTTAACCTTTTTTTATTCTTTACACTATTACTTAGGTATATGAACTGGATACTTGCTCTGTAATGTACCATTTATTTGTCCCAAAACTGTTCTTACAATTTTTAAAAACACTTTTCAATTCTGGTAATTCAGTCCAATGACTACCTATTAAGCATTTCCTATGCCTAAGACGCTGTCCTATGCACTGGAAGTTGATGAACAATCTTATCCTATTTATGCCATTCATGGTTTTGCATATTTTAATTCTATAAGCTTTTCTGGAGTTGAAAAATCTTGTTTAAAATGGATGTTTTCAAGGCCAAGTTACAACTGTGAGCCAAATTATTCTGATGTCAAACATGTCAAATTAAAAAAGAAATTATTTTCAGTTCCAAATTCTCTCCCTCCCTCCAATACATTCGTCCAGTCACCCGTTGCAAAGGCAAGAAATGATACTCATTATATATATGAAGTCATGCAAACCTGTCAATATTTTAAAAACTAAACAACCTTAAGATAAAAACAAAACATCTTCCTTCAATGATTAACCAGAATAGCATTAAGAAAATATAGTTCCAAGAACTTCAGACACGTTAATAATAACGTAATATTCAATTGTGCTCTAAAAAAAGACGTTCAAAATTCACGCTGAGCTCGAAACAAAACAAACCGTTTTATGTTGTGTAGCCTTACTGAACCAATTACTGGAGTTAGTAACAAACGCGGTACTTGACGCTGTAACACAGTGGATAACCAGGTTATTTGAATTAAGACATTCTGAGATTTCAAATAGCAATTCAAAAATGCCACTCTCCCCCAAAGGATGGTCCTAAAATAGAATATGTAATTTTTTTCCAAAGTATATAGGTATTGTTTCTTCAGAAACTCATCTCCCACATTCCTGGGGATTCTACACTCCATCAGTCCAGGACCTCTAGCCCTCTAATTGCAACCACTTAAATTTCCAAAACAAAAAACTGCCTCCTCCCCGCTCCTTAAAAATAAATAAATAAATATCCGTAGTGCAGCTCTCCCTGAAAAATACCGAAGAATGGCTTCTCCCATCCTTCTTCAAATCCTCAGGGCAGAGTTCTCTCAGGGCCCCGGTGCCAAGAAGTTAATCTGCTAAGTAACACATCTGCAATCCCGGTCTCTTGGCGACCAAAACAGGAGCTATGGAGATCCTGGAGAGAGGGCAGGACGGAGGGAGAGGGTCGTTCCCCACCGCGGGAAGGAAAAAGGACTTGATTCAGGGAAGGTGGAAGGTGGGTTGAGGGAGAACGAAGGTATCTCTAGATGGAGTAATTTTCTTTCTTTTTTTTACTAATTATTATTAAAAAGAATTAGCGGAGGGTCAAGATGAGGAAGGGAGAGGTCCTTTCTTGAGCCAAACCTGGGACTGGTGAGGGAAAAACAACAACAACCCCAACCGCTCACCCCGAGGGCCCGAGAGCATAAAGGATGCCAGGGAGAGGGCTTTTCTGCCGGGCTCGGCCGCCCCGAGGGTCCGGGGGTCCGGCCTGAGGCGGGCGGCAGCCGCCCCCTTCCTCCGGGGTCCGGCCCCCAAGCGGCCCTGCACCCAGATGCCTCCCAGTCCCCGCTTCCTCTCCCCTGTTCCCCCCCCAGCCCCCTCCCAGGGCTGACCGTCCCGCGCGGGGCACCGGCCAGAGCAAAAAACGGCCTCGGGAGAGCCAACGGAAAATACCTGAGTCCCGGGGATCGTGCCAGCGGCGACTGAAGCAGGAGGGACCTGAAACAAGAGAGACCGGGGCGGGAGCCGCACTCGCCTCCAGTCAAACCCCGACGGACACACACGAGTAGGGCGGGTGACTTCCGCCCGGAGCCCCACCGCCCCGAGATTGAGCCGCATCACTTCCGCCTATGCACGGGCCTTCATCCATCTCTCTTTCCCTCCCCTAGCAATCATTCGCCGCTGGTTTCTTCAGGCCTCTTTCTGGCGATTTCAGCGGGGGAGGGGTGTTAAGCACATTTTGGAGACTACATATCCCAGGGTTCTCCCTTCCCCTTAAGAGGTTTCATTCCGGGTCAAGAGATCGCGCGCCGGCTGGTCACCATGGAAGCGGTCGGTTTGGTCACGTGGTGCCCCTGGTTACGCCCGGTGCCAGCGGCGGAGTCTGGGGCCCGCAGCGGGGGCCATTTTGTTGAGGGCTGCCTCTTATAGCCGGGGGCGGCTTGGAGCGCTCCGCTCCTGTGGGGCCGTGGCGCCAGCGGCAGAAGAAGAAGAGGAGGAGGAGGAGGAAGGGGAGAAGGAAGAAGAGAAGGAGGGAGTCTTTCTCGGCCCCGGCTTCGGCAGCTGCTTTTCCCCTTCTATAGCTCGGGAGCCTGGAGAAAAAAAAGGGAGGGGAGGGCTCCGCCGGGCCCCGAGGAGACTGCGATGGTTCCCCGCTGCCGCAGCTTCCTGACGCCCCTCCATGGCGTCCGCGCCCCCGGTGCTTCTGCCGCAGGCCCCGTTCCTAGCCCCCAGCGCCTATCGGCCCCGGAGCTGCTGCCGCCTTTCCACCCCAGAGACTGATGAAGACCGACCTCGGCGGACGATGAGAGAGGAAAAAAGCTACTGCTGCCGGGGAACCGCCGGCGACCAGGGCTCGTGCCCCGCGGCCCCGCCGGCGCTATCTCCCACCACGACCGCGCTCTTTCTCCCGGCGGAGGACGCTGTCACGAGTGGCTGGTCCAGGGCCGGAGGGAGCCTGCCGGGAGGGGAGGAAGAGGAGAGCCGGCTCCTGCAGCTCCTCCGCACGGCGGCGGAGCCGTCCGAGGCCTTCCAGGCTCTGCAGGCTGCCTTGCCCCGGCGCGGCGGGCGCCTCGGTTTTCCAAGACGAAAGGAAGCGCTCTACCGGGCCCTGGGCCGGGTGCTGGTGGAGGGGGCCCTGGAAGAGAAGCGACTTTGCTTGCAACTTCTCTCCGACGTGCTCCGGGGTCAGGGGGACGCGGGCCAGTTGGAAGAGGCCTTCAGCCTGGCTCTTCTGCCGCAGCTCGTGGTCTCTTTGCGAGAGGAGAACCCGGCCTTGAGGAAGGACGCACTGCAGGTCCTGCACCAGTGTTTGAAGCGGAGCCCCATGCAGGTGCTGCAGGTGCTCATTCAGCGAGGCCTGGAGAGCGCCGATGCCCGGCTCCGGGCTTCCACTGCGCTCCTGCTCCCCATTTTGCTCACTCCCCCGGATCTGTTGTTCGGCCTGGATCTCACCGAGATCACGCTGTCCCTGGCCCGCAAGCTTGGGGAACAGGAGGAAGAAGAAGAGGCTGAGATAGCTTTTTCTGCACTGCAGCAGATAGGGGAGCGCCTGGGCCAAGACCGGTTTCAGTCTTACATCTCTCGCCTGCCCTCAGCCCTGAGGAGACACTACAATCGTCGTATAGAGTCCCAGTTTGGGGCTCAGGTTCCTCATTATTTGGACCTGGAAACCTCAGAGTTTCCTGAAGATCCCCTCCCCTGCCCGGCAACACCTTCCAGTAGCCACCTCAAGTTTGGTGTTGTTCCCCAGGAGCTGCATTCCCGGTTGCTAGATCAGGAGGACTATAAGAGTCGGACTCAAGCTGTGGAGGAACTCAAGCAGGTGCTGGGAAGGTTTAGCCCTGTCTCCACTCCTCACTCTAGTCTTGTAGGTTTCATTAGCTTATTGTATAACTTGTTAGATGATTCTAACTTCAAAGTGGTTCACGGCACACTTCAGGTACTGCACCTGTTGGTGACCCGCCTTGGGGAACAGGTACAACAATTCTTGGGACCAATCATTGCTGCCACAGTCAAAGTACTAGCAGACAACAAGTTGGTGATCAAGCAAGAATACATGAAAATTTTCCTTAAGCTGATGAAGGAAGTAGGACCTCAGCAGGTGCTGTGTTTGTTGCTGGAACATCTCAAACATAAGCATTCCAGAGTGAGAGAAGAGGTGGTGAATATAAGCATTTGCTCCTTGCTGACCTATCCAAGTGAGGATTTTGACTTGCCCAAACTGGCTTTTGGTCTTGCCCCAGCTCTAGTTGATAGTAAGCGTAGGGTACGCCAAGCTGCTCTGGAGGCCTTTGCTGTGTTGGCATCTTCAATGGGCACAGGTAAAACCAGTGTACTTTTCAGAGCTGTTGATGCTGTTGAACTTCAAGATAATGGAGATGGAGTGATGAATGCTGTGCAAGCCAGATTAGCTAGGAAAACTCTTCCAAAGCTAACAGAAGAGGGATTTGTGGAGTATGCCATACTCATGCCATCTTCTGCCCAGGGCAGATCAACCCAGTTGCCCCATGGAGCGGATACAGACTGGCTTCTGGCAGGTAACAGAACTCAAAGCGCACACTGTCATTGTGGTGACCATTCAAGGGATAGTATACAGATGTATGGCTCTTATAGTCCATCTGCTGATCAGACTATCTGTACTCGAAGGGTGTTAAGTGCAGGAAAAGGAAAAAATAAATTACCTTGGGAAAATGACCAACCTGGAGGCGTGGGAGAAAACCGGACATCCTATTCAAAGGAAATAGAGCAGGTATGCATTTTCTGTAATTAGCATGGGTTGGGGCAGTGTAAGTACCATTCTTTCACTTTAATGAAAGATATTTTTAGGTGTTGGATATCCTCGTGGAGGTGATTTATTCCAGAAAGATTTGTGCTAAATGTTCACAAGAGTGTTCAATCCTAGTAGAACGGATCTATACACAGATCTATACGATGGATTTGATTCAGAGGCAGGATAGTATACTGGAAGGAGCATCAGGTTAAGAGTCAGGATTTTCTGATTCTATTCCCTGACTCTTGGCTCTGCCACTACCCTGATTATCTGTTAGGACTTGCTTGGGCAAGACACTTAACCTCCCTAGGGAGGATCAAATGAGATGTTGTATGTATTGACTTAGTAATTGGCAAACACTGTATAAGTGTGACTGACTGTTAAATGTAAATAATCAAGAATCATTTATTAATAATAGCTAGCATTTATGTAGCTTTTTAAGATTTGCAAAGAACTTTAAAAATGCTATCTTACTTGATTTTCATAATAATCCTGGGAGGTAGTTACTATTCCCATTTTACAGAGGAGGAAACTGAGGCAGACAGGTTAAATGACTTGCCTCGGATCACACAAACACATGTAAGTGTATGAGACTGAATCTGAATTTAGGTTTTCCTTGAGTCCAGGCACAGAATTCTATCCACTGCACCACCTAGTTGTCCCATAGTATTAAGCCCTTACTATGTGCCAAAGTACTGTGCTAAGCTAAGTTAGATATGCAAAGACAAAAATAAATCAAGCTTTGCCCTTTAAGGATCTTATAGCGTAATGAGAGAGATGGCATGTATGTGTGAGTGTATGTGGCTATAAACAGAGCAGACGGGATAATGGATGAGAAGGCGCTGGCAGCCGTGGAGATCAGAAAATGCCTCCTGTAAGGGGTGGTACTTGAGCTGAGTGTTGAAGGAAACCAGGGATTTTAAGATGTAAAGGTGAGAAAGAAACACATTCTGGACATTGGGATCAGTCAGTGCAAAGACATGGACATGGGAGATGGAGAGAGCATCAGATGAAGAATAGCAGGCTGAAAGTAGAGGGGAGTAATGTGTAAGAAGGCTGGAGAGGCAGGAGGGGTCCGGTTATTAAGAGCTGTTGGTATGCACCAACAGAAAAGGTTTATAGCAGGTGATAAAAGCGAAATAAGAAGGCTGGACTAGATAATCTCTTAAGATCAACTTGTCAAGTAGTGAAAATGTACAGAGTGGTTGGTCTTTAAAGTCTTGATTTTATCTGTAGCAGCAATTGAGCCTTCAGTCCTTCTGATACTGGGTAGCGAGGTGCAGTAGAAAGGTCACTGAGCCTGTAGTCAGTAAACTTGAACTCTACTGTTTACTGATTCTGGGGTCACAAGTGAATCACTTATCCCTTTGAAGTCCAGGTTTCTTTTCTGTAAAATAGGGATAGGACTACCCTACCTACCTGGATCTAGTAGGGCTTTGTGCTAAATACTTCAACCAAATAAGTCCCCACTACAGCATAGATATAGTTCTATAAATTCACATTGTACAACAGGTGTTTCAAAGCCGAAATATTTATATAGGGTTTTAAGGTTTGCAAAGCATTTTACAAATATTATCTCATTTGATTCTTGCAACAACACTGAGAGGTAGGTGCTATTATTATACCCATTTTATAGATGAGGAAACCGAGGCAGACAGAAGTTAAATGATTTGCCTAGGGACACACAACTAGTATATGTCTGAGGCTGGATTAGAAGTCAGGTCTTCAGGGGCAGCTAGGTGGTACAGTGGATAGAGCACTGGCCCTGAAGTCAGGAGGACCTGAGTTTAAATCTGGCCTCAGACCAGACACTTGACACTTGACACTTACTAGCTGTGTGACCCTGGGCAAGTCGCTTAACCCCAATTGCTTAAGAAGTCAGGTCTTCCTGAGTCCAGGCCCAGAACACTGTCCACTATGCCATTTAGCTGCTTCACCTGGTTGCCCCATCATATTAAGCCCTTACTGTGTCTTTCTCACAGTCACAAACTGCCCCTTCTCCCTTCATTCTCAGCATCTGACTTTTTACCTACTTACTGAGAAGATTGAGGCCATCTATTGGGAAGTCACTAACTCCTCCGCTTCCTATTCCAGCTTCATCCTTCTGTTGAAGCTCAGGGA